GCATACATAATTCATCTACCGTTAACCTTGCTTAATCTATTCAACCACATGAAAAGGTATTAAACGATTTACAAATACCTTCTTACAGCTACAGAACGCGAACTACAATACACTAGTTCCCACTTCCTTTTTAAGACGCTCGGTCACTTGAACGGAGAAGGAAGTACAACCGTTCAAGAGCGTCCCATGATCCTTTTCGGGGAAGGATAACAACCACGGCTGTCTAGAATGTTGGGAAAGCCAGCTTAAGATCGACTGTAATGATAGTTAGTACACGGAAATATGGAACGAATATTTGGTGATAATGGTCAATCAATGGCAATCACAAATTTATGATTCCAGCTATACACTAAGGGCCTGTTCATATGGGCAAAAGTTATCCCGGTTAGCGACAAAACTTTTCGACAAGTTTACAAGCGAGATCTCGCCTTGGTATGAAAATAATATGAAAAGTTACACTGCGTTCATATGAGACAAAAAGTCTCCCGAGATCCCGTCTACCGAGATCTCGCTTGTTGACAGGCGAGATCTCGGTGACCGGGATAATGTTTTTCCCATATGAACACAACTTTCCCGCTTAGCGGGATAACTTTCTGTCGTGTCAGCAACTTTTCAATTCAATTGATGTTCAGTGCCACGTCACAGCCGAAAACTTTACCCGGTAAGCGGGATAAAGTTTCTCCATATGAACAGAACAAAAGTATTTGGCTAGTCGAAAAGTTTTCTCGTTAACCGCAATAACCGGGATAACTTTTGCCCATATGAACAGGCCCTAAATTTTGATCAAGGCAAGAACAACGAAATCCAACACCACAGGCAGAAAGAACGTCTTAGAATGAGTAGAACTGCAAAGATTGGTTGTAAATTGTCGTAAAATGAAGAAAATATATAGCCCTGTGAAGTTCGTAAATTTTGTATATATTTGTATTACGCGCGGTAAAAATAACCACTTTCGGCTCAAATTCCCGAGCGTAATGCAAATATAAACAAAATTTGCAAAAATATACATAACTTCACAGAGCTATATTTTTCCTCATTTTACAACAAGGCCAAAAAAAATATGTGGGTTTCCGGTTTCCCGACCCTACTTAGCTTTTGGACGTCGAAATCCCGACCCTAAACTTTTTTATTGGATCATGCTTGTAAGTGTTTCCACTTAGAGGAAAAAGTTTGTGGAAAATTGAAATTTGAGGCAATATTAGCGAAATGTATCTTTGGATGTGGAAGCACTGACTAAACAAAATGGCGTCCGCTTGTTCGGAAAATTAAAAAAAAGTTTAAAAAAAGAAGTTAAAACCGGCCTACCCTACCTAAGTTTTTATAAGAAGAAACCGGAAACTTTGCAATTTTACTCATTTGAAGTTGCTCTTTCCAGCTATGGTAATGGATTTTGTTGTTCTTGTCTGGATAAAAAATTCGTCTATAGCTGAAATAATGCAATATTGACTTATGAAAGCGATTCATTTCAACCAGTTCAAAAATAACACCAATCAAATTCATAATTAATCAATCAAAATTCAAAATCAGTCATAATTAATCGAACTGTATCCCAACCAATCCATCAAATCTATAGTCAATCAATCAATCAAAAAATAATTGGTATGAATCAATCGATCAAACGGTATAGGCTAATAGATTATTCAATGAATCAATCAATAAATCAATAAATTTTCCTTTCCTCATATAAATGCTTACCCATACGGCTCCCGTTTCGTGTATGTGAGATTCTTGCTTGGTCGACTGTGATTGATGGGAATGGTAGTACCCTGTTAGGAGAAAAGTTCAAGGGTTTTTTAGATGGATTTTCATGTGAAAATTTCATAGCCTTTGTGTATAGGTAATAGCATGGTTTCTCGTGCAATTTGGGAAAAACATACGGTACATAGCGAGTTTTTCAAAGACAATAGACAACTTGCATGTTAGACTAATTTTTTATTTAGGCAAAAAAAAGTAAATTCCCGTAAAGAACTTATTAAAATAGTAAAATTGCAAAATTTGGATACGAAATGTTGTAGAATGCAGAAAATATAGCCTTGCAAAGTTTGTATATTTTCAGTATGTTTGTATTACGTGCGGAAATTGTTACTATTTTTGAGCCGAAAATGGTAACAATTTCCGCACGTAATACAAATATACTGAAAATATGCAAACTTCACAAAGCTATATTTTCTGCATTTTACAACATTTCGCAACCAAATTTCGCAATTTTACTAATTTCATTATTTTCTTTTTAACTGTTGTGTTTTATTCCCTCCTCTTTACTTAGATTAAAATTTAGCCTAACATGCAAGTTGTCCATTAGTTTTCCTTTTTGTGCCAAAAATTCATCTAATGACATCATATCTTGGACTTTGACAGTGAAAAAGTTGATCAAGTTGAGGTTTTTTATTATAAAGGTATATTACATTTCTTCTCAGAATGACCCAAATATTACACATACCAAAAATTATATTTGAGGTTAGTCACATTTTAATTATCAGGATTTTGGGTCCGACCGTTATTCCAGGTTCTGTATGAGGATTTTGGGCATTACCTGTATTTTATCACACCAGCCAGCATAATATCTGAAGGTATCAATGGACATTCCAACGTGCGTTTTCAAAGCCAAGGTGTACACGGCGCCTGCATCCAGTGATTCTATAGTGGCCAGTTCTTCTTTGTGTTCTTCCATCATTTCTGCAAGTCTGAAATAATGAACTCACTGTCGAGCACGATGTTTATTTGGTTGTCAAGACCATGTCAAGGAGTAGTAGATGCAGGGACGAAACTTGAGGGGAGGGGGGGGGGGTGACTGCCCCCACTCCCAATTACAAGGGCAAATCATCTGGATTGGCAGGGCAATGAAAGATTTTAAATGATAGAATGTAGAGTTATTAAGTAGATTCCAGGGCTTCCAGAGGGAATTGAATAGAATTTATAGACCTAAATCTTACAGATATTGGTAAAACAATAAGGGTTTTTGACCCTTAATTTAATTGGTTTATGTCCGGAAAAATTTTTTCACCCCTTTTTCAAATGTCCGGAAAAAAATTTTTCGACCCCCGCTCGCCAACATTTTTGGGAGAAATAGTGGCAAAAAAAATTTTCGCTGCAGGGCATCATCGGCTTTCGCAGTGCAATTCTAGCAGACCCCCCAATTAAAAGGGGCTAGTTCGCCCCTGAGCAGATGCAATGCAATGTGGGCAAACTACTGCAATCAGGAAAGGTTTCTGGAAGGTGACTTAACTAAATTTTTTGGAAGTTGGGAGTGTCTCCAGCATTCGACCTAAATGCCAACCTGAGAATGTTCCAGGTCAGCAATTTTTTGCCGACCTTAATCCCAGTTCTTCTCAGTAGAGGTATATTTTTTCAGCTGCAGACAGCAGTTCAAAAAGCCATCGTTATTCCTTACCAGGTCTTACAACTGCGACACCAGATGGTACCTTGTTCGCAGCTTGTAATTCTTCCTTAGCAGAGGCAGGGAACCCGCGAAGCTTGTCGAGTAATTCCAATGGAAAGCAGCCGTAGGAATATTAAAAATACGGTTGTGGGAAACACGAAATTCGGATTTTGTTACTGGTGTTTACTGCTGCTTCGAAATTACAATGCCGGCGATAGTGTCCGATATTCCGATCTAAAAATGCCGAAATGTGCCGAGCTGGGTCAAATTTAGGGCGATATTGTTTTGCTCGCCTCAATATTGACCTTTTTCGAGGGCTCTGTCTTTAAATTTCAGAGCATGCACTTGCCAATTACCCAGAACAGCCAGTTATGCTCCCCCAACAAAAGACAATTCCTGTGGTTGTTTTATGTGATACGACCAAATACAAGGCCAACATGCATAGGCTCATATTTCACACTGACATTACAATTAGCCTATATATTATGCAGCAGCTCTGTTGCAACATACCTGTACATTAAGGAGCCGCGATCGCGGGCGTTCATTCGTCCCCAGGGTCCTTTTTCATACGCATCCTGGGCAAAACAGAAAAATACAGTAAAATTTGAGGACCATGCACGTACGTTAGGCACATGAAATTCAGACATAATAAATTGTGTACCTTCGCAGCGGCGACAGCAAGATCTACATCATTTGTTGAACAGAACGTAATCTCACCAAGTACCTGTGGATGGTGGAAGGAAAGTTTTAAACACATACAATGTGCTCTACAATAAGCTGTCGTGGTTTGTGTTTGAACTACACACGTAAAGAATCACAAGTTGTTACAGGTCTGCAAACAAGCTGTTACAAATCTGTTCACAAGCTGTCGACAAGTTGTGTTCGCAGTGCTTGTTCCCAGTTGTTGTAACAGGTTTGGAACAAGCTGTTAACAACTTGTAACAAGCTTGATGGCATTATCAGACTTGTTGACGGCTTGTTGGTAGACTTGCTACAAGATGTGAGATTTTTACGCATGAAGAAGATATCTCAAACATGGTGGTCCAGTGTAGGTAGTATTCTACAATAAGCTGCCGTGGTTCGTGTCCAAACTACCTGAAAAAGATATCTCGAACGTGGTGGTCTAGTGTAGGTAGTATTCTACAATAAGCTGTCGTGGTTATGTCTGAACTACCTGAAAAAGATATCTCAACGTGGTGGTCCAGTGTAGGTAGTATTCTACAATAAGCTGTCGTGGCTTGTGTCTGAACTACCTGAAAAAGATATCTCAAACGTGGTGGTCCAGTGTAGGTAGTATTCTACAATAAGCTGTCGTGGCTTGTGTCTGAACTACCTGAAAAAGATATCTCAACGTGGTGATCCAGTATAGGTATTTTTCTTACCGATTCATCATGCGGATTGATGGTTTTGAACGTCTTTTCTGAAGTTGAATCAACAAAATTTCCGTTGATGAAAGCTTGATGTGGCATCCTAATTTCCATATTGTTGATGTCCAAGTTGATCTAAAAATAATAACATAGTATAGTTAAACATAGATATAGATGGTCAACTGACCCAGTCTTTCAAGGTTGATTGCTATTTTTTGTCCGGACAAAATGTCCGATCATTTTAGCATTTGGTCGGAAAAACTGTGATTTGGTTAATAGAAAATGTCCGATTCTCGACCGTTATTTCAGGCTCTGCAAAGGCACTAACCAGTATGTTAATGGTATACTACTTACTGTATCAACTTTGAACTCTTCCTGACCACCACCTCGCGAGGTAAGTACGACCATTTTAACGAAATCACCGAACCTGCGCAAACAAGGAACCCAACGTAATTCAGTGTACTCGACCAGGACACCATTGTTGAAAAGTACACGAGATTATTTACTCACCCTGTATTCATGTAGACTTCCTCGGTCTCTACAGATATACTACACTTCTCTTTCAATTCTTCTACCAGCCTGAAGAGAAGGTAAACATTTCATGCAGTGTCGAAACTGTCAATTCATTATCGTAGTATAATTTTCTTGCAAATATATATGAAATCGAGAAATGTAGGCCTGTAGTTTAATTTTCTTAGTGATTGATCGGGCGGATTTTTGCCTTAATGGTAGATAATCGGAATCAGTAGAATTGTCTATATTTCCGATTGTCTAAAACCGATTGTTGAGAAAATACACACCTTAAAAATGATATGCATCAGTTGCACGTTCATGCACGTTGCATTTTAACGCAATAAGTTAAATTAATGCGTGAAGCTTGCCATTTATTAATGGTTTTAACGATCTTTGGTTGCAGTAACCATAGATATCTTATATACACTAGATAGCGCATCTCCTTTAGTAAAATAGAAGCCAAGAATATTCCACCCCCATTTGAATAGATGGCGGCCATAATAAACGCTTAAAAAACAACAATAACTTTGATCATTTGAATAGTTTAAAAATGTATTCGGAATAGGTTAGCTTAATGTTTAAGTTCCCTGTTTAAGAAATAGAAAACATACCAATCTTCTCATTTCATGGAAATACCCTGAGCCTGCAATCACGGCTTCAATTTTTGAATTGCAGAATAATTAGATGCACTATCTAGTGTATATAAGATATCTATGGCAGTGACATGTTACGTTGGAAATTTTCGTTAAAAAACGTCATGAATGACGTCACCTTTACTCGGTCGACTGATATTATGACGTCACTATAAAATCGGCATTGGTATCTGGCAGATTGTGGCATGAATAATCGATAATCGGTAATTTCCGATTGCAGCCTGCACAATCGGTCAATCACTACATTTTCTTGCAAATATATACCGGGTGGCCCAAAAAAAAGTACTCCTGTTTGATTCGTAATAACTTCTAAACAAGTAAAGTTTTTCAAGAGAAATAACTTGCATTAAATAGAGGAAGGACTAACTTAGATTTTGATATATTACAGTTGTATTTAACTTAAAAATTCACGGATATATTAATGTTAAAAATGGGGAGCATATTTTGGAATGTGTCTAAAATTAGCGAAAATCGGCATATCAAATATTAACTCCAGCGTTTGTTTGCTTAATGACATATTAGGCTAACTTGTATTTCAGCGAATTATCGTTAAGGTTTGTAAGGGATATGGCGTAGATTTAGACATCTTACATGTAAGTCTTAGCTCATTGTTTCCTGAAATATGAACGTTCGAAATTATGCAAGTATTTAATATTAGGTCTTTGCAAACTTAAATGTACATGAAAGACTGACCATGGAAGGCAGGCGCTTAAATTTTTCGTATTCTTAAATAGCCTAATTTTTTATGTTTTTAATGGGTTCAAACAGACTGAGTAGATTATTTCTCGGTTAGAGCAGGATGAATATTCTTTATTGAAGGAAATAATATTGCTTTTTGCAAATACACATCACCGTATCAACGCTACTATTTTGTTACGTTTTGTTCCAAAAATGTTGCATGTCTCTGGGGAGTTGCTTAATTGTTATGTCTTATGGAGTTGTATGGTTTGATTGTGTTTCATATAATTCTCAGTTTACTCCATGAACTTGCCAAGATTAAGAAACGGCAAAAGAGTTTGGGTGTTCTTAACAAGATTTCAGAACGTTGCAGAAGTTAGAAGAGCTTCACAATTCCGTTGTGACAGCATGCCCTAATTCAGAACTACGAACGATCCAATGACGATCCTTCGCGATGCAGTGGTCTCATGAAATAAGGAAACGTATTCGTGCTAGGAACACACGCGAATTTCGGACGAATGAATCTTGCTTGTATTTTGTAGATATAATAATACTTTGTTTCATAATAAACAATTTGTCAAGTGTCATTTATTTACTGGTAATAGTGCATGTTTCAGTCGGGCAAATCTTGATTAATATTTGATACGCCGATTTTGCATATTTCAGACACATCCAGAAATATCCTCCCGAATTTAAAGATTAATATCTCCGTGAATTTTTAAGTGAAATACAACTGTAATATATCAAAGTCTAAGTTAGTCCTTCCTCTATTTGATGCAAGTTATTTCTCTTTAAAAGCTATACTTGTTTAGATGTTATTACGAATCAAACAGGAGTACTTTTTTTTGGGCCACCCGGTATGAAATCGGGAGATGTAGTTTAATTTTCTAGGAAATATATATCTGAAACCAATAGAAGTGGCAAATAGACCTTATGCATAATGACGTCACAAGGCTTGATGCCTGCGAGGAATACTGGTCTTAGTAGTCATCGGCCGGGAAAATTTCGATAGTGGCCATTTTGAATTGTTTAATTTTCCCGGGCGATGACTATTAAGACCAGCATTCCTCGCCGGCATCAAGCCTTGTGACGTCATTATGCATAAGATCTATTCTCGGATGCTACGTGCTTTCATGATCATTACCTTGCAACATCCATGGAACCAGCTCCAGCACCAAAGAAATCTGTACTGTTGTCAATGTCAGGGTTGGAGAGAATGCCTGCCCAGATCAACTGCGATGGAAAACATGGAACATATATATTCGAGAACCGAGACTTCAATACAAAACTATAAAATGTTTAATATTTCTAATGATGATCGTCCAAATTAACACAAAACACCATTTAACAGGAATACTCTCTGGCTGACCTTCAATTTTTCCTCGATTTCTTTCTCCTCTTCAGAGAGTTCCAAAGCTTCAGATTCGTCAGCGGCCTGGCCAAACTTTGCTGCCGGGATCATCTTCCCGCTAGCCAGACCCAGAGCTTTCACGGTTAACTATTGTAAAGGCAGAGATTATGTTCAGAAATGAGATCAGAGATTTACATGGGTTAATATCTTATGTGATATTTATTGAATTTGCGTAATTTATACAAAGCCATCAAAATTATGTTCCGTTTTCATTTTCCAACATTCGGAGACCGTTTTCAAAAATCATTCCATTCCGAAGTTGATGAGAGGACTGGGGACGAGTGTTAAAAAGTGCCCAAATGAAGAAATGAACCAAATCACTAAAAAGACCACCTCAAAATTAGTAAGTATACAGAGTTTGAAGACGTTTACACGAATACCCCTTCGAATAATAAGCTTTTGAAAATCATCGCGATATTTACTATTGATGTACTGTAATTTTTGTTTCTGGAAACGCGCATCCCAAAAACATTCTAAATTTTAATCAGTAATTTCACAATTCTTGAAGGCTTATTATTCGAAGGGTATTCATGTAAACGTCTTCAAACTTTGTATACTTACCAATTTTGAGGTGGTCTTTTTAGTGATTTGGTTCACTTCTTAATTTGGGCACTATCAATATCGTTCCCCAACCCTGCGATCCTCGGGAAGGAATCCTGGCTAAGATTGGACTGTGCATTCCATATCAACGGCCAATCATATTCCTCCCTGAAACGGATTATCCCAGAGCCTCACGTTCCTTCCCGAGGATCGCAGGCTCGGGGAACGAGATTGGGGCACTTTTTAACACTCGTCCCCAGTCCTCTTATCAACTTCGGAATGGCTAAATACCGATGAACGGAAATTCGCTTGTCGTTTTAATGTCTTCTGATGTTGTTAATGATAGATTCCTTTACAGAATATAGTGAATAATAAGTGTTTAATAACCAAAAAAATGCCGTCAATAATTTTCATTTTTGGCCACATTATGGATTAAGGCATATTAACTGAAAACATATTAACAACATGAATTGGGTGTATACTATGTTGAGTTGCAGCCATACCATTTTTCCATCATTTCCAACAAGCGTCATTCCACCAGAATGAACAATGGCTGGTTTTTCCAATCCTTCAACAACGACAGAACTTCCATCTGGTGGACTGCTGCTTTCTTCCAGAGACGAACTGTAGAATGTCACTTGCTAGAAATGCGAGTAGAATTGAACTTCAATATTTTAAATCTGTGGCATGCATAGGATGAACGAGACTCTGCAAGTTAGGATGAGTGGTTTCGTAGCTAAGGTGGTCAGAATGTAAAAGTTGCTGTGTAAATCAAGTTGACAAAATTAACCAAATGGTATGTTTTTCACTAGTTCCTGTTTTTGAGTTGGTCATTGTAGTTAGTTTAAATTGATTAATTTCTAGATCATAGCAATAAATAACTGTAAAAAGACATTGACCATGACAGACATGTCACTTGGTGCTGCAGGGAGACCCTGTCCCTTTCATCCCAGTCTCTCAGTATGAAGGTATTTTCTATTGGTTGCTTTTTTAATTGTTGGAAAGTAATGGATATTCTCCACATTAAAAAATCTGGCAAATACCGAATACCGATACACCCATAGATATAGGAGATCTAGATTGCTAACCTAGCGCAGGCGGGGCCTACATGATAAATCCAAGATGGCGGTACAAGAGGGCAAAAAGACTATAGATTCTATTACGAAAATCAAGATTTTTGCATTTTTTTGCCGTCGCATTGTTTTGAAACTTATTCGGTCAAATTTTATGGTAAAGAGAAACTTACCGCGAAGATTTTGAGCATATATATGATTGAATTGGATGAAAAATCGCAAAATTATCCAGCGATAAAAGTTCGTGTGAAATGGTCAGTTGGTCATTTGGAGCGTTTTATTGCCAGAAATACTGTGCTATGTTAACATCTAGCCTTGTGAATGGTGTTTTATACTTGCATCTCTCATCATCATCTGCTCTGTCCTCATAATTATGAAAAATGAACTGTTATGTACCCCCCCCCCCTCCTTGCTTGTTAGAGAAGTAAACTGATGAGAGCACTGGATAAGGGTCTATCATCTATGGTCTGTTATAATTTGCTTTCTATGCAAATAGTGAGCAAAAATTAAAGCAAAACTGTACAAGTTACATATATAGTACTTTGTCAGTACTATACACGAACTTTTATCGCTGGATAATTTTGCGATTTTTCATCGATCCAATTCAATCATATTTATGCTCAAAATCTTCGCGGTAAGTTTCTCTTTACCATAAAATTTGACCGAATAAGTTTCAAAACAATGCGACGGCAAAAAAATGCAAAAATCTTGATTTTCGTAATAGAATTTATAGTCTTTTTGCCCTGTTGTACCGCCATCTTGGATTTATCATGTAGGCCCCGCCTGCGCTAGGTATGCGTTAGCAATCTAGATCTCCTATATCTATGGATACACCCCCATCAGAATACCGGTAAATACCGGTACTTTAATGTACGTGTTTTTTTTTCAAGCCAAACTGAACTGCTGAACGTCGAGATAAATCAAGTTTTGACAATTATTTTAATGTGACACAAACATTGATGATTATGACGATCGATGATTATGACGATCGATGATTATGACGATCGATGATGATTGAGGATGATGATGACAATTGATAACAATCAACGATGATTATGATAATCAATGATTATGATGATGATCAATGATGATCAATGATGACTATAACAATTAATTATGATTATGATGATCAATTATAATTATGAGGATCAATTATAATTACGACGATCAATAATGATTATAACAATTGATGATGATAATGACAATCGATGATGACAATCAACGATCATGATGATGATCGATGACCATGATGACAATCAATTATGACAATCAATGATTATGACAATCAATGATGATTATGACAATCAATGATGATTATGACAATCAATAATGATTATGACAATCAATGATGATTATGACAATCAATGATGATTATGACAATCAATAATGATTATGACAATCAATGATGATTATAACAATCAATGATGATTATGACAATCAATAATGATTATGACAATCAATGATGATTATGACAATCAATGATGATTATGACAATCAATAATGATTATGACAATCAATGATGATTATGACAATCAATGATGATTATGACAATCAATAATGATTATGACAATCAATGATGATTATGACAATCAATGATGATTATGACAATCAATAATGATTATGACAATCAATGATGATTATGATGATCGATGATAATGATGATGATCATGACAATGATCATCATGATGATCAATAATGATTATGACAATCGATGAGGCTGATGATAATCAATGACGATTTAGCAATGGAAATATTGATTGATTAGAACCAATGATTAAAAAAGGTGATAATCATTATACTTTTTTATTGTCAGACAATGCATATGACTTTAGGTTCCGCTCTACTGGCTTTTGGTAAAATATTCCAGTTTTTCAAAAGCCAAAAGCAAAATCTTCCTGTTTGAAATTTTGAAGGTTGACAGGTTTGCCATAAATTGTGATTCTTCTACATATTTTTTTTCACTTGCAACTTACCTCACCATCTATGTTTGACCAAGCACCAGGCAGCTGTAAAATGCCAAGAAAAGCAGGTCAATAATTATATTACATATAGAGAACGTCAAATTTTGTGCATCACATAGTACCGGGTAGTTGGAAATGGCGCCATCTTACCTTATCATTTCCTCGGATAAAATTGTGTAATTTCTCTGCTGGTTGGTCCCAGTGAATCTAGATTAGTTGCAAAATAAGTGTAGAATTAATTTTACCAAGCTACAGAGAGACAGTTGTTGATCACAAGCTCTAACTGCAAGTTCATGCAGATATCCATACCTTAGCAACTTCCTTCTTTTTCCAGATTTTGTCGTACGTCGCTCCCTCCTCAGGTTGTACAATTCTTGGAGCCTTGCCATCAGAGATCAGGTCGACAGCTTCAACCTTACAGAAATAAACAGAGTAGGAGTGTTTGGATTGTTTCAAAATTCAAAACATGACTACAAAAGATTGACTTCTATGAAAGTTACTTTCTATTGTTGAACAATGTTCAGCCAATTTAACTGCCCCAGCAGTAAGTAAACTTAACCCATTGAGCAAGGCTTGAATTTTATCGCGGCAATTGCCATAGAGGAGAACAAAATGCTGTGGATTACTGCGGCAACAACAGCACTTTTTTGCCATATAGTGTAATTTTCATACTATTCACTGTGCATTACTATTTTGATACTTGAATTCAGATGTTGATCAAATCATGCGATATGCGTAAATTGCTATTTTAGTCACAGTTTACTTCGAAAAAAAAACCACTTAAAGAAATACGTAAACATGTTAAACTTTCTAGCTTATCAACAATCCAAAGTAACAATAAACTTAAATTTTTATTAACTTAAAAAAATGTCATGGAAACTGCAGCCAAAATTACGTTCTACGGCAATTTTTAATAGCATTGTCATCGATTGATTTCAGGGAAATTCGAGGCTTGCCATTGAGTGGTGGCACTCTCAACTTGACGAGTAAAATGGTCTGGCGTTAGAGAGAGTAAAATACTAAAGTAGGGCACATCAGGGTGCATTGCCACTTAAAGGGTTAAAACAAAAAGGATGTGCGGCCAGGATAAGACATATTAAATTCAGACATTCTCTGACCAAAATAAAAAATGGTTTCTTTTATAGATTAAAGCAAATTGGTACAAGGTTTCTGATGCTCACCATGCCTTTGATTCCCTCGGGATACAAGAAGCGGTTATACAGGGTATCCACTGTCTCGTTGGGATCAATGTCCACACTTTTCTGTAATAATATCGGACCCGTATCCAAACCATCGTCCGCCCAGAATACAGTGAAGCCACCCTGCTTGTCACCTTCCATTAGAGTCCTACAACAAATTAAATGAACTCATAAAGTTGCAATGTACGCTGCACCTGTCACACTGACAAGTCAGTAGAAAAAATACAATTTATAGTTGTATATACATTGTACTTGTTGAACTAATGGAGTTTAACTACAGTTGATTTCACATAACTTTTCTGTGAATGTTGCGAACTTCGTTCTGAACTTCGTTGTGAAGTTCAAAAGTTCATACTGAAATTCACACGCCGGTTTGTAAACAAAGCCTCTAAATGGTCCCTGAATAAAAATAAGCCAATCAGAGGCTTTTACAAACCAGCTTGTGAATTTCAGTATAAACTTTTGAACTTCACAACAAAGTTCAGAACAAAGTTCGCAACATTCACAGAAAAGTTATGTGAAATCAACTGTAAAACAAGTGCAACTTGTTGCAACAAGGCAAGGCAAAAAAAAAGGTAATTGACCCGATCAGGGTGCCACAAATGGTTATAAGAGGGGGGTAATGGGGTATTTTCGTGCTGCGTATTGGGGTAATTTAATTATTCGTTCTTCGTTCAGTCATCTTTTTATTAAACGTTTTTCGATCCCGACATGGATACCGTGTATCATGCTTGCGGTGTATTCAATATCCGTTCTCCGTTTTCAGCTGTATTTAAAGACTGTTATTTCTCGTTTCTGGACAATATATTCCATTAATTTTGTTTCTGGATTTTAGCTATGTTTTGATTGGCGTCTGGGGAACGGAGGTTTCAAAGTTTATATAAATCATGAACATCGACGCAATTGTAAACAAATAGGTGAACACACCGCCTAGTACAGACTGTTTATATTCACCTTTAAGACTTCTAAGTATGATTGTTGCTTACATTTCATGTTCACTTTACGTTTCAGATTCGTAATAAATTTATTTTACGTGCTTCAGGACTTCCTTCTTTTATTTTTCATGCTTCAAGATCGCTGCATATTATTTTTCGTGCTTCAGGATCGGTACCCCCCCATTACCCCTCTCTTATAAGGCACCACAAACCCCTTAATGGCTGTGATTTCATGGGCTTCCCTCAAACGGAAGTCAATATGCATCTGCCGTTAACCTTGCTTAAATCTATTTGACCTCATGATACAATAACCCAATACTCATGCAAGGAAAATCCTCCCTCCAAAAAAAAATCAAAATCATGCAATATATTTTATAGTTCCTTGTTAAAAGAATTTTTATTTTTTTAGATCAGTTACCACGCGACATCAAGTTGTCACAAAATTATTTAAATTTTTAAGGGCCTTTGTCGCATTTACAGGAAGCGATATACGTTTCAAAATTGACAATCTAAGGAAAAGATCATTTCGTGCGAGATTTCGTGTTAATTTTGCACGCGAAATGAAAAGTTTCACACGCTATTAAATTCACCTTGCCAAAATATTCGTAATTTCAAGTAAAATGAAGCATTTATAACGAGTGCCAGAGGTTAAAAACATAAAAATATAAATGACAAAGGGTAACTATAGACTACGTAAAGCTTTTAGAAAGTATTTTCATGCAAAGAAGCAAGATACTTTCATTTTTAGCTTTAAAACAAACGTTGCAAAGCTCGCAGGTTAATTATAACTAATATGTAAACAATTATGTAACAAACATATTTTGTACATTTTGGACGAATTTTATTTCCGATATCTCAGCCAAAAGCTTACCAATTTATGGCCGAAGCTCCTCTGTGTCTGGGCAAAATAGAAGGATGATATATAATCGAGCCATGCTTTGGGAAATCGATAACGTCCATCGGTATGAACTGACTACAAAATGGCATCACGTTCAATTCAGCGTCGCACGATTTGTACTTTTCAAACACCTCCGCGATTGTATTCTTTTCCCCCTTGTTTCTCCAGCGCTTAAATTTAAAAACCTGTAGTCCATCTTTTTCTGCTTCGGTAGCCAAAATATCCGGCTTGCCTTTCACGTCCGGGATGGTAAAAACGCCAACGATTTCATGACCCTTTGCTCGCAAATTCTTGTACACTTCCATGCCAAACTGCGACTGGCCGATGATAGCGACTCGCAAAGATGCCATGATTTTCGCCGAGGTTTGAAACGTACGCCTTGAGTTCTGTAAAATACGATGAGCAGACAACATTTGTAGATCAAAACGCTTTCATTGAAAGCTAGATAAAAACATTAAAAAGAAAGAACAGCTCTCAAAAAGCCGGTTAAGCTAAGCTAAACATTACCAGGAAAGAAAATTCTCGATGGCGAACTCCAAAAAACTTGATGGTCTTGTATACAATTCTGCGAGATCTCGATTTCAATTGGATTATATAACGACACGTTATCCAATCAAAGCGCAGTATTTCAGCACACCCAACATACACCCACGACAAATTGCGTACACGGTGCTAGGCACGAAATTACCATATTTAAATTATTTTTTAACGCTTGAAACTACATTTTTATACGTTTTAGAAACAAAAAACAATAGACCTAATACTTATCTATAGTTCCAAGGAATTTTGTGACTTTTTAGCGTATTTGTGTCAAATAAAACGCTTTCGAAATGTGTCGTAATTCAGTTTCGCGCGCTGAACAATTTGGACAAGTCTGCGCTAATCTTTGCACAGGTTAAACAAAGGTCGAATAAAACCGGTTCTGTTTACAATAGAGACCGGTTTCTTAAAAAGTTGCGCAAATAAAATAAACAATGGACAATTTTACAAGTTCCGCCAAGCAAGAAATCCCAGTTATTTGCTATTGCGCAAAATGGTTTATAATATTGCCCCAGTTTTATAAAACTATAAAAGATAAATTACTTCAGTTAATAGCTTATAGACGGATAATCCGTTTTAGTAAATTTGGAGAAAAAAAATTGTCTGATAAATTGTCTAAAATTCTATGTATAGATGCGATTACGGTGGCGTTAGTCTGACGAGGAAGCGCGCTTTGCACCTCTGATAATGGACATCATGAGTTCGTGGGTTTGATCTCTCGCTACAGACTCATGTGAAAAGAGTCAGTCAACGCTCTGCCGAAAGTCGTGGGTTTTCCCCGGGCGCTCCGGTTTCCTCCAAAGTTGACAGAGTGGGTTAGGATAAAACACAGTTAAGAAAATAATATCACAATTTTCGTAAAGATAAAGTCTAGGCTAAGCATGTAATTAGGTTAAGCGTAATACTTGTAAATTTGCGCTCTAGAAATGCGACATCAGCCGGGCACTATGATTTGCTCCCAGAAATATTGTGTCACGCTATTCTAGCTACGCTTGATCCCATGCAGATGATTCGTCTGGGCTCAAGTCAGGTTTTTAAGACCAGAAAAAAGTCTATACCCCTGTGTGAAGCAGTATGATGACCATATATAAAGGCCTTTGTATTTCCAGAGCAAACTGACAGTTGCGTGACAAACGCGCGCGAACAACAACATGAGGCGCGAGATGTTGATATGTACTGTACAGAAACGGATATATAGCTGACACGCGAAGTTTTTGCAAACACGAAATTACTGTCACATGACGGAAAGGGAGTTTTGTGGGCGCGCGATGATGCAAACATGCACGTCTGTCGGCCTGTGTTCTTAATCTTGAGTAAATCATACAGGATGCGGCTTTATACCCATACTTTAACTTATTTATTAACAGTGAAATTCTGTATACCAAAAGTAAAATGGTCAAAATATCAATATTTCTATACCGTTTACATTGATTTCAAGCTAAGATTCCTACGGTGATGACAAAAAAGTGGAGTGTTTAAGCTCTCTGAAACTACACATGTTTATATATGGTTTAATAGGCATTTGCCACCTTTCAACTTTTCCAGAAAGAAGAATAAAAGTTTATAAGACAAACATAGGTCCGCGCCCGTTCGGTATTGTCAGACCAACTATCTATTCTTTGAATTGGGTTTCAGGCTTTCAACGGACAAAATCAAGCTGTTTAAATTAGTAGTTCTATTAGTATTATCCTTGGATGATAATTATTGTTGTGTGCGTTGAGTAATATCCAGACACCTATTCTATTATCAACTGTCATGTAATCTGTTGTTCTCGTTTGATCGACAAAAGTCAAAACTCTCATGCAAACTCTCGCTTGCCAACTGTCTCATAAACTCTCATTCTAAGGGGCTGATTACATGGAGAGTTTTCAGCCCGGGCTGAGTTTCATCCCGGTTTCCCGGGCTGAAATTTCAGCCCGGCCTAAGCATAAAATCATATTAAAACACAGCAAGCGATTACATGACCAAAATTCCAGCCCGGGCTGAGTTTCAGCCCGGGCTGAAATTTCAGCCCGGTTTGAGCTGCCCGGGCTGAAATTTCAGCCCGGACTGAAACTCAGCCCAGCATGCATGTAATCGCAAATAATTTCGGCCCGGGCTAAAAAAACAACCGTTTAAATCGCTTTATTTTGCGTGTTTGTTTAATTTTTAAATACTTTACATATAACCACAGTCTCACACAAGTCAAATGGTGGACTAATCAGCGTCTGAATGCTTCAAAGAAGCGTAACACGCTTATTGTCCTATTTCGTGACACTCAGATTATTTCAACCCGGGCCCGGGTTGAAGATAAATATAGCTCTGACTTAATTCAGCCCGGGTTGAAACTGCTCATGTAATCGTGATGCAATTTCAGCTCGTTTAACCGGGCTGAAACTCAGCCCGGGCTGAAAACTCTCCATGTAATCAGCCCCTAAGGGGCTGTTTATATGGTCCCGCTACCCGGGATTCAATGAAGTGTGACGTATTTTGAGCAATTGAAGTCGCACCTCATGATCTAACAAAATTGCTTGTTACAGATTGTATGAAATTCCATGTTTTAGACAAAAAAAAACAAATGTTGAATGTTATTATTAATCGACAAATCGTCTTCTCTCCCACTCACGGTTAGGCCATATAAAATAAATTCCTTGATTCTCATCGCTAAATTTTAAAAACTCCCAGGAGACGGGAGGTTTATATTTTATATTTTATGTCAAAATATAAAAACAAAGTTTAAAATTTAAAAAATTGGAGAGGGAGGTCTTTTTATATTTGCCCTTAAATATATTATAGAAGAACGCTATATAAGTGGATAATTGCACATGCGCTAATGAACATGCATAAGGGCCACACAAATCGTTGTAATAAGGCTATAAGCCCATTTTTCCCTTCAGTATTCCAAGCATCCCTTAACATGTTGCAATATTAACGGCAAAACAATTTTATATCGCAAAAATTCCAATATAAAATATAAAAATAACTAAATCTCTGAAGATGCTCGGTCGGGCGGTAAATTTATATTTTATAACAAAATACAAAAATATATCAACGCGGAAACCAAAATATCGTCGGGCGGTGATGAGAATCAAGGAATTTATTTTATATGGCCTTAATAGAATACCGTGTTCCACTACATAACTTCTAGCGCGTTCCTAATTTCGTTTAAACAATATTAAAAGTTATCTAACTTTTGTTTAGGGCTGAAACACGTATTTCAATTGCTCAAAATACGTCACACTTCATTGAATCCCGGGTAAGCGGAAGCATAAAAACAGCCCCTAAGCTTGTTCGACCAGAAAAACTTAACATTTTACGTTCTATAGTTGTCCATTAACAAACCAAAGGCGTTCGTTTCTCCCTCTCGCGTTTCAATTGATCCAGTTCGCCTCGAATACGATACACCTTCATTCGTAACGCAGAGAAATCCTCCAGCGATTGAAACGCAGCGATCTTACAACTCCCAATATCAGCTTCTAATTTTTCCAACAAGTCCTCCCGAAACGCAACGTCTTTTCCAGAATTTGTCCCATTTAAAAGCAAAGCAGTTTCGTTTTTAGAACGTAAGCTATTTACTTTTAAAGCACCAGTCTTTCCCTGAGTCTGTGGAGAATTAATTTTACTTGTGCTTCGCGTGTCATTTTGACTTGATATTTTACCATTTGAACTGACATTACCGTTTGCCAAAGTCACAGAATTTTGTCTGTCTGAATCCACAGACGAAGAGGTTTGTTTCAATCTATGCATATCTTCCTTAGACGGTTTTTTTGCAACAGGCGGTGGAATCTTTTTACCAAAGCTTTCAAAAGGTTTCCTCGTTTCAACTGATTCATTCACACCAAATTTTCCACTGTTTTCGCCATTACTAGACTCTATCTTTTCTTTTCCAGTATACCCGACAGGTTGAGTTGTTTTAGGCGTTTTATTCAACTTAAAAACCCCGTTAGTTCTACCATTTAAAAACGAGTCACCTTCTTTGTTAAGAGAAGCAAGTAGTTTAGTTGTGTTAATGTCCCGATTATTTCTTCCGTTTAAAATTGGGGTTCCTTTTTTCCCATCAGTTTCAACCGATTTTGCTGCTGTGCCGGTATTTTTATCGAGTTTAGTATCGCCAATACTTTTACCATTTACATTAGTAATTCCTTTATTTGCCTGTGTAGTTTTCTCTTTTCCATTTACTGCATCGTCTTTCGTCGCATTGGTCGATTCAACTGGTATATTTTCTCGTTTTCTTTGACCAAGCAAGCGTTCAATATTTTTAGCTCGATCTAAAATCCCACCCCTTGTCCCATTTGAAGATTCTAATGGGGATTTACTTGGTAAATCTCCACTCCTTGGGTTAACCGTTGACAATGGCTTACTGTTGAATTCACTTGCAGTCATTTTACCTTTATTCGGGGCGGATGGATTCAATTTTAAACTCCCATTTGCAAAACGACTGTCTCTATTTTGTCCTGAAATCCCTCCATTACTCGACTTATTTGCTACATTGCTCGTAGCTTTCGGCGCCGATATTGGCGTTTTATTATATTCATTGGTGCTGGTTTTACCTTTGGTATCTGAATTCAATTTGCCACGAGTATCTTTGCTTCTATTTTGACCTGAACTCGCTGCAGACGTTCCTCTGCTATTCATTAAAGCGCTTAACAACGACTTCTGAAGCTCGGCTTTATTCACACTTTTCGTCGTATTCTTTGCCATCATTTCAACAGGTTTTCCGCCGTGATTACGTGCCGGCTTTTGAAACGAAATATCTTTAGTGTTTAGTCTATTTTCTTGTTGTTCCTTTCGTTGCAAGAGAAACCCAATACCTCTATTGCTACTATTGCTACTCGGGTTTCTTCCATCTCTGCCGAGGGCAATTTTTGCGCTTACTGCCGATGCGAGACGAAGCTTCAATTCCTCGGCTGATTTCCTGGTTTCATAAGGCGGCTTCTTCGCTTGGGCGCTCGAAATGTCTTCTCGTACAGTCGAAGCATTGGTATTTGGTATTGGAATGGGTACTTTGCTTCTCTTTTGACCACTTAATGTCGAAGTCATTCTGTTTATTTGTATATCATTTACCAATTCCGTATGCCGATTCTTTGTTGACTTTGTTGATAAACTTAATTACGATGTAAAGAACACAAGCGAGTACACAGTACTTTCATATAGACTAGACTCTTTAAGTCTTCTGCCAAGTAAAATTATAACAAATTCTACTATTGATACTTAAGTTCTACGCCGTTGCTTATTTGACACACTTCCGACAACAACTAGTAACGCTCTGTAACTTTGCCGCCTTGTGAATATTATCACTTCGATGAAACAGTAATTTCACATAAACGAAATGCTTTGAATCTCCTGTCAACAATATACCAAATTCTAGCTTTTATATTCGAGTTTACTTCGTCCTTGTCGCTTGGTTATACACTCTTGGCAACAGCGCATCTGTTTTGGTCGTTTCGTATTACATTTTCAACACTCAAATGACAAAAACCAGCATTGGACCTCTATTTGCCGTATGAAAGGCTATAAAACGGACATAAAATGATAGCTTATGTTTACGTATGATCCCAACAAACAATACAAATGATTTTGCTGTCCAACAAAAACAATCTGTATGGTTCACTGTCTTCAAATGAAAACGATTTAGTGCTGGTCCAAGTTACTGAATTTGGAATGTCAAATTCTAGTCGTTCCAAGAATCATTCCATTGGCGTTCCTCCAATATTCAATATTCTCACTCTCGAACACTTTTTTCGGCCTGAAATATGGCCGATCAATTGCAAAATTTATGCAACAACACAAAGCTAGTTGGCAGTAAACAATGATAATGACAAATTAAGTTAGTTTAATTGACAATGTTGACATTGCCAAGTCCCACATGAAAAGGTTTTCAATTTGCCGTCAGTTTATGTCTTAACCACGTAAAAAGTGAAGATGAATCTTTTTCAGGTAGTTCAGACACAAACCACGACAGCTTATTGTAGAATACTATCTGCACTGGACCACCACGTTTAAGATATCTTTTTTAGGTAGTTCAGACACAAACCACGGCAGCTTATTGTAGAATACTATCTACACTGGACCACCACGTTTAAGATATCTTTTTCAGGTAGTTCAGACACAAACCACGGCAGCTTATTGTAGAATACTAGACCTACCTACAATACTGAGCCACTAGTCACTACGTTTGAGATCAGTATCTTTTTCAGGTAGTTCAGACATAAACCGCGGAAGGCTTTTGAGATATATATTAAACTTGTTAGCTCAACGACAAGCTATAAAAGTTACAGCATATCAGAATTGATAGAAAACTGGTATACTAATAGTTTCCGAAGAAATGGTCTGGTTTTGGCACAACCTCATTGCCAGGGTACTCTGTATGAGACCGAGGTTGGTTTTGCCATGGGATAGAATGATTAATTAGCGAGTGAGTTGAAAATATACTTGTAGGACACATTTTTGCGGGATTATATTTGAGTTTATAATTTAGAATAGATTCACAAAACATGTCAACAAATAAGGCAGCCATTAATCCTGTATGTAATGATTTGAATACAGTGCAAACAATGACTTAACGCTAGTTTATTCACGAGGTCGGTTTCATGTAGATGATACAGCATACCGACAGCCAACTATACCGCTCATCCCTGGAAACGAGGTCTATGTAAAAGTGGGTTTTGCCCGGCATTTGTTAATAAAGGAATACCGAATGGTTTTCCGTGCAGGATTGCGTGATCCATGCACGAGGGATGTCGCGAGACTTTCGGAAAGCTAGTAAAAATACTCGAGAGCCGCAGGCGAGTGTATTTTTACGCTTTCCGAAAGTCGAGCAACATCCCAAGTGCATGGATCACGCTATCCTACTTGGAAAACCATTTGGTAATTGTTTTATAAAATAACTACTGTGAAACAATGACATTTTGTGAGTCCCGCGAAAATCCCGCGAAGGCATTTTAATTCCTCGTGCAGGATAGCCTGATCCTGCACGGCTATTAACCAATCAAATTGCGTGTTTCACTGTAGTTATTATATAATCATCATTACTTGCAGCTGAGAGCCTCTCTCCTCCGCAGAGGCTTTAGTTTTCTTAGGATTTAATATTACGATGAGATACATTTCACTACACTTTACATGGCGGACCTTGGAACACGAGCGTAGCCGCTGGGGGAAGGAGCGCATAGCCAATTAAAGCCTCTGCGGAGGAGAGAGGCTGAGAGCTAAGCTGAATTACGAAGGACGCAGCTCAACCTGATCGAGTCAAAGGCTTTCTAAGGGCGCCTTGGGCAGCCACCTTATGACTCATGTCTGATCACGGGACACAGCTACGGTGGAAGGGTCAGTTAGGGGGTTAATCCCAACCCACCCTGTCAACATTCCCTGTGGGAGGAAACCGGAGCACCCGAAGAAAATCCACGGCGTTCGGTAGAGCGTTGACTGACTCTTTCCACATAAGTGTCATGAGTCCGTATCGGGAATCGAACCCACGATCTCAGAGGTGAAATTAGGCGCTTGTTCGGACGATGCCCCATCGAAACCCCTAAATATACTGCTCCTCAAATATGCTGGTTCTCGTGTGTCGCTGATGGGCGGCGATGCACTTACGTTTAGTGATCATTAAACTAGGAGAAAACTTTTTCACGAGTTGCCTGGGTAGCTATATGGCGCTGAGTTTAGAAAGATTCTGTCTGCCCATTTAAATAAGTCGATGCCTCATGTGGGCGCCCAAAACATTCATTTTTACTAAAATCACATACCCCGTTCAGTAGATATGGTTTTAAGTAATATTTCAAATCCGATCACAGCTTGAAAGAGCATCACAAAATTAGTAATATTCCGAAGTTTCGTTGCGAAATGTTGTAAAATGCGGATAATATAGCCTTGCGAAGTTTGTCATTTTCAGTCATTTTGTATTACGCGCGGGAAATACATACCTCCTTCGGAAAAA